ATTGCAGCTCCGATTTCCGCCGTTTGTCTAATTTCATCCGACTCCGAGCCATCCTTTCTTTCTTTGTACCCGATTTCTGGCAAGGGGTTTGAGGGGTTTTTATTTAGATCCAGCGAGGAGGAAATTTGCGGGGAGTGAGGAGGATCACCTCCCAAGGACATTTGTTTGCAGCTGCTCCTTGAAGAAGAGGATCTTGAGGATGCACGACTACCGAATCTTGCTCTTTTCCTTTTCTTAATTTTGGCATCACTACTACTGTAATCGGATGAATTATCACCTGGCTGGGCTGCGAAGATATTCGGGCCTAGGATGATTGTAGGGAGGGAAGAAAACTGAAGCCCATTTGGGAATTTGTTATTGGGCCGGGTCCCCATAGGGAACTCTCCATGTTCAGTATTGTGCGACTCTTTATTAGGGACTTCCAAAGTGACTTCATTTATGTTCTTTTGCCGCCTTCCACTCGGAATACCAAACGACATATCAATCTCTTTCGACATATGGATGCGTTCTTTCGTACTATCTTCAATGTTTTGGGACATGTTTCCCATGCTCTCCCCACACCCATCATCGATGTTTTCGCCCTTCCCTGGTGACGATACAGTTCTACCGTGACTTTTTGGCTCCTCCGGTTGAATTTCCGGTGAGCCATCGGGCCTAATCTCGCCTTCTTCCAGATCCTTTGTCTTGTCGTTAAACCACGTTTCAGATATACCCTCTTCTTCGTCTCCCACTCCGGAGGCTTCTGACTCGCTATCGTTTTCATCATTATCATTAGAACTGGAGGTAAACGGTGACCAAACCTCATTATACTCATATACCCCCACTGATAATACATTGCCATTCACCATAACTTCAACTTCTTCATTGATCCACTTCTTACGAGCTGTGATAATTCCAACTTTGCCCATGGAGAAATCGTTCCTGTTATGAATGTTATCGAATGGATATATAACCTTACCGAATCTACTGGCAATACGGGAGAAGTTATCTTCATCCCAATATTTGAGTGGTACACCAGTGATCCTTAGCCATGCCAGCCTTTCAAAGCAGAGGTCCGACTGGTCCCCAAGTGTCATCCATTTGAACCATTCTTGCCACCTGCATTTGTCTTTCACGAACTCCTGGGCCCCTTTTGAAGAGTCAAATAAGATGGCCACCCTTAAATCGCCCATGTACTTTGTACCATCGTTCATTAAGGATGGAGCCGGGAGATTAACTATATGGTCAATACTGTGTGCCTCTCCTATCACCATGATTTTTCGAATCCATTTGCTCATGATTGTATCAGATTTAAGCGAAATGGGGGAGGGGTTGCTCATGTTGAGGCCGTTTTTGCCGGACACGACCTGCGCAAACGTTCTGTAGTCTCTGGAGCTATTTCTTGCCTTAGGAGACCCAGGAGACTTACCATGAAAGTAATTTGGTGGTCTAGACGTACTCCGATTTTCTTTCTGGTATTTGGCTATGTTTGACATGAGTGGAACACCTCTTAATCTGACTCCCTGTAAAGCTGCCTCCAAGGTTTTCCCGTCCTTCACCCCCTTAAATCTTACGAACGCGAAGTTTTGCTTCGACCGGTTCTTCTTCTGACAGATGTATATGTCTGAGATCTTGCCAAATCTTTCGAATGACCTCTGTAACTCCATTTTGTTCGCTCCATCTTGAAAACCTGATACATAGAAGGTAGTAATCTCTTCGTACCTATCTTGTTTTGGATTGCGCCGCCTGACCTCCGTCCACCCTTCATCCATGTATCACTTTCATCCTTTCCATACATTGTGAAGGTCAACACCCACTTGAAGCTGCTGTTAGACTAAGGGGCTAAACATTTGAGTCCAAGCACCCTTCATGTCTTCTTCTCACTTGGAGTACCCATATTAAGTCCACCTCTACAAGTAGTTAAAATTCTTGACTAAAATACCCTTGAAGACTTGTCATAATTGCTTTAAGACAATTTCCTTGTTATTTGAGAACCGAACCACATTCAAACAACCACCCCCAAAAAAATATGTCAAATTATTTTTTTTTATCTAAGAGAACTAATTAAATAACACTCTGAAAAACGAAATTATTTAAAAAAAGGAAGCAATAAAAAAATTTATTATGATTATATATACAAACTAAAAGAGAAAATAATTTACATTACATATTTTACTTGACTAGACAAAAGAAGGGGAGGTAGTGACAAGTTTGTCCCATATAACAAGAAACATTTGTTTGTTTAACTTCCCAAACCTGAACAAGGCTTGCCCGGAGGATAGTTATCCGTTGTAGAAGATAGAACAAAAAATTGAGTCATTTGGGAGGATATAAGTGGAAATCCTTCTTGGATGATACAAAGGTTATCACTAAGTGTAGATGGCAAAGGAAGATGAAAACAAAACCGGCCTCCATACCAAAAAAAGGGACTTATTGTTATCAAAAGATGTTTTGTTTGAGGAATGTAGGGGATACTTATCAAAGTTTGGTTGATCGAATATTTGAAAAGAAAATCAGAAGAAATGTGGAAGTGTATGTAGATGACATGGTAATTAAGCATAAAGATGAGCAAGAGTTCCTAGGGGATGTTGTAACCACTCTTAAAAATAGGTCAAAGTTTGTCGGCCAAACCACCACAAACACAACCATAAAAGGGCCTATTGTGTAGTATTGCTTGTTCTTGAGTGAATTTGAAGTCATTATACTTGAAATTCATATAGAATACCTTAAAACTTTCTCAAAGTTGACAGTCGTTAACAATCGGAAAATGATTCACAAAATAAGTATTCATTGATGCCCTAAAATTAAAATTATCACATTAAGTATACTTGAGAGCTATAAATAATTTATTTGAATAGATTATGTTCCCCTGACTCCATGGATATAAATTACGTCTAAACAGGAGATCGTATGAGGAAGTCACATGTCTTTTAAGTTATAAAATCAGTATTTATCTTATTTTCCTAAAACAAATTCTACACTGCTTCGTTTGGAATAACTATGAATCTCATAAATTGCTTTTAAGCATGTTTAGGAACTCATTTTTATAAAAATTGTTAATATTGAGCAAAATCAAGTTAGGAACTCATCACTATGGTTTGGTATGATAAGTCATCATCAGCTTATAGCCATGGTCGATTTAATAGGCCACCACGGTTTGGAATACTAAAATATCATCATCTTATAGTTAGGGTTCGACCTAAATAGCCACCATGGTTCACCATCAGGGTCAAGTGAGGCAAGTTACCATCGGTTCACATTCATAAACCAACTTAAGAAGCCACCAAACTTGGTCCAACATAATAAGCCAGGTCCAGCCTAAACGGGTGATCCAACCCAATAGTTCATAATAAATTAAAACCATAGCCCGACATAAGACCATTGTTGGCTCAAGACTATGGTCAGATACGTTCTTGAGCTGGCATATAAACTCAAGTTAAGGATTTCTAAGGAAGAAATAAAGATCTATATAGTATGGAAGATCATCTGTTTTGTAAAGCATGAATACTTGAGATTGATGAAAACAGAAAATGCATACATATTCAATTAAGGGAAATAAGACAAAGTACATAAGTCAGGAATTTCCATTACAACCAACATTAAAAGTGTGTAATCTATACATACGAGCACATCAATCAAACAAAACAAATTTAAAATGCACAGTAATCATGAACACTTACTACTTGGAAGAGCTACCCTGTTCAACCCCATCATTTGGAGGGAGGATATCTTCTACATGTTTCTTCATGGACCCTACGTCAACATCTTCAACAGCCTGCATCTTAAGAAGAGAATAAACATAGTTAACCATCTCGGAAAAGCTTTCCAATACATCGGGCTAGGAGTACAAAGGGTCTTTTCCTGATAACTTCTCGGGGTACTTAATTTTCATTTATACACAAGCTTGGTGATGACCTAACTGGATGGACGTCGCCTGAAGAGAGGCATCCATGGTGCCAAAATCCTCAGAAAACAACAGCGCTCAAATGAAGGTTGATATCCCTTTCTTCAGGAGCTAGCACAAATCATGGGAATTTGCCTTAGGCCTTAGCCAACAAGTGATGAAACACGACATCCTGGTTAGCATGGGACTTCTCGGAATCCAAGAGTTTAATATGGGATTCAATATTCATAGCTCTCCATATTAGCTTTTCACAAATCGAGTTCATCTTCTATAAATTTTATGCGAACATCCTCTCAAAACATGCAATGTCTAGGCTCGACACTTTCTCTGTAAAATGAACTTTCAAACCCTCGAATTGTTGATTCGGTTAGCAAGGGAAGTTTTTTACTACGTGTGTCCTCGGTTTTCATTTGTAAGTCCAGGTTCAGCTTATTTTTCTCTTCCTCCATGTGCATGCTTCCGCTAAGGTCAGATATCAGTTGTTTATTGCTAGTGACCAGAGTAGTATTTGCCTGAACCAATTACGCTTTTTCCCTTTCCAAGGCTTCATAATTTACACTGGCCCCTTCCATAGCTTTTTTTCAGAGTATCAAACTCAAACTCCTTGGCATGCGGGCCTGACTACAAAGTGACACCCTGTTTATCAGGCAGGGTCCCTCAAAAAGATGACAGCATGCCTTATTGATACCCTCTTGGTTGTTAATCTTACCCAAATTAGGTTTGTTCACGAATTTGGTACTATCAAATGGATGAAGAAAAGAAGGAAGATATGTAGCATAGGGCATCAAGGTTGGTTGAGGAGCTTCGTTCTTAAAAGAGATTACTCTTGCATTTAAGTCAACATAAAATAAAAGAACAAAGAGAAAGTTATACCAATTTTCTGGGAAGGACCTTCAATAGATGTAAGGCCTTTAATGAGGGTGGCACCAATAGGGGTCTCGGTAATAGGAACTTTTACATGGGGTAGAAAAGAGTCCAATTCGATGAACCCTACAACCTTAGAATCAGACTTCTCCTTTGAAGAAGGATCAACACTAACAGGAACAATGGGAGATGATGCTACCTTCGAAACTTAGGGTTTGGAACCCCCAAGACCAAGTCCTAGACCAAAGAGCTTCTAACGAAAATCTTTCTTTGCAACATCGGTAGGAAAAGTGGTAACACGGGTAGAAGAAGGAGCAATAGTAGAATTCACAATAGCATCAGATTGAATATGAGATACCTCTATTGAACCCTCGGGAGGAACAAATGAGGTAGTAAGTCTAGTTGCGATGTTAATGGTATTAGTTAAAATAGGTTTGGAGTTAATGGGGCACTCATGTAATCTAATATCCTTACTCACATCTAAACTAACCACAATATGTTAGGGAATTTCGACCACGATATCATCTGCAAAGGTATCTTTACTCTTCGAAGAACATTGAGTCCTCTAACGCTTGAGAGGAGAAATGTTTATGGAATCATCCGTGCATTCATTTATCACCTCCAACGATAGAGTCTTCTCAACCTCGGTGTCCCCAAATCCTACATCGACAGAAGGATTCGCTTCTTTCCTCTTGCAGGGCATGCATATTTTCATCAATTTCCCCGATGAGAAAGTGGGCAGCGTGCTGCTCAATCGTTCCGATTTACCCACCTTTTTAAGACACAGGAAGAGGTGAATTTTTACAGCCTCGGCATTAAGAGGGGAATCAATTCTAGAGTCAAGTTCAGGGTGAACATAACATATCCCCCTAAACAACCTAGCGACTTAGTAGTAGGACCCTCGAACGATTTTGAAATTACTATAAGTCGCCTGTGATGCAACCGATCCAAAAGAGTAAGGGTATCAAGATTCTCATCCTTGTCCCAAAGGATATTTAAACCAACTATCTCAAGTGTACCCTTGTCAGGGTTTGACCACTTCACGTATATCTCAGATAGTCTACAATGTTAAAGATCATCACTAGCCCAATAAAACAAATATTATTTAGAAGACTTTAGCTTGTTCTAGAATGCTCTAGAAGATTCTAGAACATTATGGAAGACTATGGAAGACTCTGGAATATATCGGAAGAGTCTAGAATACTCTAGAACGACATGGAAGACCCTGGAAGGATATGGATCATTCTAGAAGACACTGGAGCAACCTAGACCTCTCCAGAACATGGTAGAACATTCTAGAAACATATGGAAGCATGTAGAGTATGTTAGATAGTTCTAGAATTATCTAGTATGTAGTAAGTGTATGCTAGTATCTAGAACCTTCCTATGAGGCCTATAAATAGGTATGGAGCTCATTTGCTCCAAACCATCCAAGAAAGCAAAGTGTGTAGTAGTCTCACAAAGTGTAAGTTCTCCTTAAGTGTCTTAATAAAAGTCTTGTTGTTTCCCATATAAAAGAGTCGTGTTCAACAATCTGGTATCAGAGCAAGGTTTCTTGATAGTGAGAACGAGTGATTCTCGTTGTATCGTGAGTAGTTTGTGACTCTGCAAGTTTAGTATCAAAACTAGCTTGTTTGGTATTACCGAGGTACTGCCAACACGATGGGTGATCTCCAAGTCATCGGAGGAATCAAGAAACTCAACAACAACAACTACAAAACGTGGGAAACATGTATGAAGTCCTACTTACAAGGACAAGATCTATGGGAGGTCGTTGGTGGAAGCGAAACTACGCCACCAGAGGAAGACGTTAATGGTGCTTTACGCAAATGGAAAATCAAAGCAGGCAAAGCAATGTTTGCCTTGAAGACCACAATTGAAGAAGAGATGTTGGAGCATATTCGGGATGAGAACACCCCGAAAGAAGCTTGGGACACGTTTGTGACGCTTTTCTCAAAGAAGAATGATACGAGACTACAACTTTTGGAGAACGAGCTATTATCAATCTCACAACGTGACATGACGATTGCTCAATATTTCCACAAGGTCAAGTCGATATGTCGGGAGATTACTGAACTAGATCCACAATCCGTCATTGCAGAAGCTCGAATGAAGAGAATCATTATCCATGGACTGAGGCCGGAATATAGAAGCTTTGTTACTGCTGTACAAGGATGGCCCGCTCAACCATCACTTGTAGAGTTTGAGAATTTGTTGGCCAGCCAAGAAGCTATGGCTAAGCAAATGGGAGGCATCACGCTGAAGAGTGAAGAAGAAGCACTCTACACAAGTAAAAGTCGGAGGAATTTCAAGCCACCTTCTAAAGAAGGATACAAAAATGCTGACAAAGGGAAGAGTCAGCAAGGAACCTCAAACCATGGAGATCTCAAAAGACCGACAATAAGAGTTCTCGGGGAGGAGGTTCGAAGGCAACTGCAACAACTGTGGAAAGTGGGGCCACATGTCCAAGGATTGTTGGTCAAAGAAAAAGTCTGTGGAAAGCAATGTAGTAACTTCCAAAAAGGAAATAGAGGATGAATGGGATGCTGAGGCATTATGTGCCATGAAGAAAACGAGTTGGCACTCATGACAATGATGGGAGAGCGTATCAACTATGAAAATGACTGGATCATTGATTCAGGATGCTCCAATCACATGACTGGCGATCAGAACAAACTACAAGACGTGAAGGAGTACAAAGGGAGTCGCATGGTACTTACAGCCAACAATGCACGACTTCCAATTGCTCAGATTGGAAAAACGACGATCATGCCTGGTAATAAATCTGACATGGTGTCACTACATAATGTGTATCACGTGCCAGGTATGAAGAAGAACTTGTTGTCGGTATCGCAACTAACATCGTCAGGCAACTACGTCTTGTTTGGCCCACAAGATGTGAAGGTCTATCGAGATCTTAAAATATCAGAAACGCCAACAATGGAAGGACGAAGAGTGGAGTCCGTTTATGTGCTCTCCGCAGAGTCTGCCTATGTAGATAAGACTCGTAAGAATGAGACACAGATCTATGGCATGCACGGCTGGGACATGTTGGTTATCACAAGTTGAAGGTAATAATGGAGAAATCCATGCTCAATGGCTTACCTCAACTTGAAGTTAAAACAGATGTTGTTTGTGCTGGATGTCAGTATGGTAAAGCTCATCAATTACCATACAAGGAGTCAAATTTTAGAGCAAAGAAGCCACTAGAGTTAATTCACTCAGATGTGTTCGGTCCAGTCAAGCAGACATCAGTTAGCGGGATGCGGTACATGGTGACGTTCATTGATGATTATTCGAGATATGTGTGGGTTTTCTTCATGAAAGAAAAATCTGAAACATTCTCAAAGTTTCTAGAATTCAAGACAACGGTCGAAGGAGAAGTGAGAAAGAAGATTCGGTGTCTACGCTCAGACAATGGAGGAGAATACACCTCAGAAGAATTCAATCGCTATCTAAAAGAATGTGGTATACGTCATCAATTCACATGTGCCAACACACCTCAACAAAATGGTGTAGCTGAGAGAAAGAATCGACATCTTGCAGAAATTTGTCGAAGCATGCTACACGCGAAGAATGTCCCAGGAAGATTTTGGGCTGAAGCAATGCAAACTGCTGCCCATGTGATCAATAAACTTCCCCAACCAAGGTTAGGTTTCATCTCACCATTTGAGACACTATGGAACATGAAACCTACTGTTAGCTACTTCCGAGTATTTGGTTGCATTGCTACGTATTTGTACCTAGTCATTTACGTAGCAAGTTTGACAAGAAAGCAGTCAGGTGTATATTTGTTGGATATGACAATCAAAGAAAAGGTGGAGTGTTGTGATCCAACAAGTGGAAGATGCTACACTTCAAGAGATGTAGTGTTCGATGAAGCATCTTCATGGTGGTCCTCAGAGAAGAAAGTACTACCAGACTCGGAAAATATTGAAGAAGTTTTAAAACAAAAGATGGGGGAGCAAACTGCACATATTTGGTCAAGTGTTGATACACCTGAAGATCCGAGCGACACTGATGTCATTGAGCAAGAAGTAACTCAAACAAGTGATGCCGGTGAAAGGGAGCCGCCGCCTCCACAACTTCGAAGGACGGAAAGAATCCGAAAGCCTAATCCCAAGTATGCTAATGCGGCCATTTTAGAAGACGGTGTTAAAGAGCCGGAGACATATGAAGAAGCAATTAAGAATAAAGCTTGGCAGAAGGCGATGGAAGAAGAAGTTACAGCCTTAGAGCAGAATCAAACTTGGGAACTAGTACCAAGACCAAGAGATTTAAAACCCATTTCCTGCAAGTGGGTTTATAAAATAAAGCGTCGCCCAGATGGATCAATTGAGAGATACAAGGCTCGTCTGGTGGCTCGAGGGTTCTCACAACAATATGGATTGGACTATGATGAAACATTTAGTCCAGTGGCGAAGATAACTACTGTACGGGTGTTGTTAGCTCTTGCAGCTAGTAAAGACTGGAAATTATGGCAGATGGATGTGAAGAATGCTTTCTTGCATGGAGAATTAGATCGGGAGATCTACATGAACCAACCAAAGGGATTTGAGGATGAAGTTAATCCCAATCATGTGTGCAAGTTGAGAAAAGCTCTTTACGGATTGAAGCAGGCACCAAGAGCCTGGTATGGTAAGATTGCTGAATTTCTTACCCGAAGTGTTATTTAGTTGCACATGCAGACTCAAGCCTATTCATCAAAGAAAAAGAAGGGAAGTTGGCAATTGTGTTGGTTTATGTGGATGACTTGATCATCACCGGGGATGACGAAAGAGAAATCCATCAAACAAGAGAAAATCTATCGGTGCGATTCCAAATGAAAGAGCTGGGGGAGCTTAAACACTTCTTGGGGTTAGAAGTTGATCGTACAAAGGAAGGGTTGTTCCTCTGCCAACAAAAGTATACAAGAGATATACTTCAAAAGTTTGGCATGTTGGAGTGTAAGCCAATATCAACACCAATAGAGCCAAATGCCAAGATATGTGCTCATGAAGGAAAAGAGTTGGACGATGGAACGATGTATCGACAACTAGTAGGTAGTCTTATCTACCTAACTTTATCTCGGCCTGACATTGCTTATGCAGTTGGAGTTATGAGTCGATACATGCAAAGTCCGAAGAAACCTCATTTGGATGCTGCCCGACGGATCTTGAGATATGTCAAAGGTACAATTGACTATGGTCTCTTGTATAAAAGAGGAGAAGACTGCAAGTTGGTTGGATATTGTGATGCTGACTATGCAGGAGACCATGATACCCGAAGATCAACCACTGGGTATGTGTTCAAGCTTGGGTCGGACCAATATCATGGTGTAGTAAAAGACAACCAACAGTATCATTGTCAACCACGGAAGCGGAGTACAAAGCAGCGGCCGTAGCAGCTCAAGAAAGTACATGGTTGGTACTCCTAATGGAGGACTTACATCAAAAAGTTGACTATGCAGTACCACTTCACTGTGACAACCAATCTGCAATTCGGCTGGCAGAAAATCCAGTATTTCATGCTAGAACAAAGCATGTGGAAGTGCATTATCACTTTATCAGAGAAAAGTCTTGATGGAAGAAATTGAGATGCGGCAGATCAAGACCGATGACCAAATAGCAGACTTGTTCACCAAAGGGCTGAGTACTGGAAAATGTGAAGGTTTTCGCTGTCAGCTTAACATGGTACGAAGAATGAGGGCTAGTGTTGAGGGGG